TCAAGTCCATTTCCTGTTCTTTTCTCGCAGATCGGTTATTTGGAATGTCTAATAATTTGTTAAGCATATCAACGTTTCTTGGCTGTCCATCAGTAAACTTGTAAACTCATGGGATTTCCATCCCGTATCCTTCCCCACGTTTCACAAGCCCCTTCCTTTCATAACAAGGAACTGAAAGAAGTCAGTGTTTTTTCTCATTACTCGGTTTCGTTTACTGTTTTATTGTTCAGTTGCATTGAATTGCGGTTGTAAGGTTGTTAATTAACTGCAAAAAGGTTTATTTATAGCGGATTAAAGGTATACATGTAGTAGAGTGTAGTTTAAAAGCATTTTGCACCATAATTTGACCCTACCCCGTTAATACGACCACCCCGCTAATACGACCAAATTTCCATGGCCCGAAGGTGGTCGTATTAACGGGGTTCCACTGTAGAAGAAAATCTCAAATTTCTTGTTTGTGATTTTTTTTTAAATTGCACTTGGCAAAATAGTGCTAGAAGATTTAATTTGTGTAACAGCAGTATAGAACTCCAACCAGAGTGTCAAAAACTTGGTTGGGATATATTCACACTGAGAGTTGATATAGATGTGCAGGGTGTTTTTTAAACACTTGTCAGTGTTGTTGTTGTATCTTTGACACTTTTCTTTATTCAATTACTTTTTTTATTTCTTAGGTTCTCAAATGTCAGAAGTGGGTTAACCTCAAGTCACCCTCTGGAAGCCACTGAGAAAAATGTAAGCCACTTTTGAAAGAAAAAAGAACTAGGAATTATTAGCCAACAATGTTTGATTTAAACTTTCCCAAGGGTATTTATACTGTACTGGTATACCTACCTGGCGACCTGGAAGATATAATTATTTTACAATATGCAGTGCCTACACTCTTCTCAACATGCATCTTTCCTCTCAAAATCGTTTTGATCATGCACTGTAGGATTACTATTATTATTATTATTATTATTATTATTATTATTATTATTATTATCATCATCATTGAATTTGTTTAGATGTATTAGTTTTCTGTTTTGATTTCATAGTTTTTACAAAACCAAGAGATGCTTGACTTTAAGATGCTCAGGAACACTCAAGGACTTCAAGCTCCATTGAAACTACAGATGGAACGCAGTGTTGCGTCCAAGGTAAATGAAAATTACTTCTTCAAGCCAGCTTTTTTTTTATTGTATTTCACTGACAATAATTGGTCTGTCTTCTCAAGTTTGCATTCCATGATTCCTAATGTCTCATTTTAAATTGCAAGGCCACATTGGAAAGAGATGAAACTGATCTTTTTTTTATTTTGTTGAAAAGTCACTTCTTCTGAACTAAGCAATTGATTTTTGTCAAACTTTTTCAAATGGTAGGAAGGTTAGCATATTGAGAAATATAATGATTTTTTATTAATTCTGTCAACACCTTATAAACTTACAGATTCAACGGTTACCATGTCTGCCAAGTTCAATGGTTGCTTTAGATACTCTAATGGGTACAGATGAGAGTTTAGGATTTGAAGACTTCTTGAATGGTAATTTTAGATATTACAGTAAGATTGTTTTTAAGACCTTCCCCAACAAACTGCAATATTTTTTTACCCTCAAAATACTGTAGCCACTTTTTACAGGATTTGTAGAAAGTGCTACTCATCAGCTATCTGATTCATATTTAAACAGTCACACTTGAAAAAAAGAAAGAAGAAGAAATTCCTTTAGCCTGGTTTTCAGTAGCGTATAACATAAGCAAAAGGACATACGCACACGTAGAATGGCCTATTTGACTGAATTCTCAATACCAGCTCTCCTCAACCCGATGATAAACAAGATGGCAGACGAAGTGTCCGCCGTATTGCTTTTGATATGTTCGCATGAGGTCTGGGTCAAAGTGACCTACGATTGGTCCACAGCCTTGTGCTTACCAGTATGCTTGTGCTTATGTCAACCCAGTTTTCAATAGTCAAAGCTACGACATAAGCACAAGCACAAGCAGAAGTTTATCTTGAGCTTATGCTTATGCCTATGTTCACCCAGTTTTCACTTGCTTACACATGTGCTTGTGCTTATGCTTATGTGCTAGTGAAAACCAGGCTTTTAAAGGCCTAGCAAGCATTATGACAGGAAAGTACTGCTCAGTGCCTTTCTCTTGATTGGTCACATTACAGAAACTATTAGACAAGAATGTTTCAAACCCATTTTTATGACAATATTGAACAATGCACCACTTATATATTGCATAGACTAACAATGTTGTTGATCAAAAAACCTCAGTTTATTTTAACATAAATTAACACCTAGCTAAAAAGCTATTTTACAAACACATGGTCCATTTCATAAAATACCAAAATAATCTGAAAGGGGAAGGGACAGCCTTGCTGAGGCATATAAATTAGGATAAGTTTCCTAACCCTAACCCTAACCCATTTATGGCTGTCAGTGAACAAGGTCATATTGTTATTATCTGTTTGTGAAAGTCAATTTGTAAATAGTAATTTTTTCCTGTGTTTCAGTTCATGGCGATTCTGAGGTTATGTCTGATCCACATCTTACAATGGAATACAAACTTGGGCTTCATTGACCCTCTTCTTTTATTTAAGACTCAAGTTCTTTTCTTAGCATTAAAACAGGCACTCTAAACTGCACTCTGAGCAGTTACCAGAATGCTCATGGCACAAAGCTGGGTGCCTGCTTGCTTGAACCATGTTCATGTACCACACAGGTTCTTACTGCTACTATCTTCTGTAAAATGTTCAGATTTAGCAAAGATAATGCAATAAAAGTGACAGAGGAGTATGGAAGTCCTAAAAACTACCATGACCAATTGCAGAGCTGCAAATTGAGAAACAGACATTTGTTGTTCTTATTTAATGTTGCATTATCATTGCTAAATCTTCCCAATAGTAATAGTGTATTGCCCACCAAGTCTCTGATTTTTCACTTGCGCATGCATGTTGTAAGCCGGAAAAAAAATGACTGTAACCATGTACATGAAATAAAATACATGTCTATATAAAAACAATTTCATGGTCATATGAATAAAATAATACTGTGCATCTGAAAGTGCATATACAATGTATAAGCTGATAAGGAAAATGATGTTTGCTTCTGGATTTCTCCTAGCTTAAGAAAACAGCCACCATTTTGCAATTCCCTCACTGGTTTCCACTCGAAATGACATCTGAGAAACAAGCGCAGAAATTCTACACTGATAATGCATCACTACCCAGATCTGAGTAGTACTTCTGATTGGTTGAAGCAAATTTCCCACATGGCATGACCAATCAGAAGTACTACCCAGATCTGGTTAGTGATGCGTCATCAGTATGTAATTTTCTGCGCTCGTTTCTCAGACTTCATTTTTGCGCGAAAACCATTGGTGGCATTGCATAATGTCCGCTGTTTTCTCAGGCGAGATTTCTCTAAACTCTGTTTACTCACAATTTCATGTAGACTCAACCCCGGGCCTAATAATGCTAATGAACAGGGGCCTGCAGGCCACAGAAAGCCTTCTGAGTACCAAAGATCCTCATTTTCAAAATAAGGCCTAGTGCAAAATCTTTCATGCGGGAATGAGTTTATTTGAATGAGAATTGAAAACTATTTTCAGATCAAAGATTTTGCTCTTGGCATTGTTTTAAAAAAGACGCTTGGGGCAACTTGAAAATTGCCTACTGAGTTAGTGACATCACGTCTGATAATATGCACAAAGAAAGACTTAGAATAAAAATGTTACTATACAACTACATGATTTCAAAACGTTGTTATAAAACACATAAATTAAACTTTATATAAACTTTAAGTTCTAGTTGGTTTATCACCAATTTTTCCAATTTTTTTTTCTTTATAATTAAGTTTTAATTTTAACTTGTTTTCACTATACAAAGAACCAATATCTCCTCTCTGACATTACGGTGTATGATATAAACTTTACTTTAGCATATTTTTCATAAACTCATTCCTAGCGTTTACTGTCTTTTCTTTGTTTAGCTTTCTTGAACATTGTCATCTTCTTCATTTAAGATAAACGGGGCACGCTCCTACAACCAACACAACAACAATCTCATACTCTCCAGAATATGTTAGATTTAATTCACCATCTTATGCTAATATCCAAAAAGTTTATTGTTGTCCTTGGAGACACAAGAGCAGACAGGTGGTGTGTGTGTAGTTTGCAGGGGTTTATATTGTTATTATATAACAACTGTGTCAGCTGGTGGAAATGCATGTCTGAGAAGGGGGGGGGGGGGGGGGTGTGGGGTGGTCCCCTTTTGTTTTTTTTTATAAAAATAAATTTTTTTAAAATTCATTTTAAAAACCCACAAAAAAATAAAAAATTTTTTGTGTCCTTTTTTTGCCCCAATAAAAACTTCCCCCCTTTTCTATAAACTATTTTTCCCCACACCTTTTCGAATTTTTGGCCCCCCCCCCCCCCCCAGTTTAGATGTATTAGTTTTCTGTTTTGATTTCATAGTTTTTACAAAACCAAGAGATGCTTGACTTTAAGATGCTCAGGAACACTCAAGGACTTCAAGCTCCATTGAAACTACAGATGGAACGCAGTGTTGCATCCAAGGTAAATGAAAATTACTTCTTCAAGCGAGCCTTTTTGTTGTATTTCACTGAAAATAATTATTGGTCTGTCTTCTCAAGTTTGCATTCCAAGATTCCTTATGTCTCATTTTCAATTGCAAGGCCACATTGGAAAGAGATGAAACTGATCTTTTTATTTATTTTGTTGAAAAGTCATTTCTTCTGAACCAAGCAATTGATTTTTTTCAAAACTTTTTCAAATGGTAGGAAGGTTAGCATATTGAGAAATATGATGATTTTTTATTAATTCTGTCAACACCTTGTAAACTTACAGATTCAACGGTTACCATGTCTGCCAAGTTCAATGGTTGCTTTAGATACTCTAATGGGTACAGATGAGAGTTTAGGCTTCGAAGACTTCTTGAACGGTAATTTTAGATATTACAGTAAGATTGTTTTTAAGACCTTCCCCAACAAACTGCAATATTTTTTTCCCCTTAAAATGGTTTTCCATATACTGTAACCACTTTTTACAGGATTTGTAGAAAGTCACACTTGAAAAAAAATTAATGATTTCTTTAGCCTGGTTTTCACTAGCGTATAAGCATAAGCATAAGGACATACGCACATGCAGAATGTCATATTTGACTGAATTCTCAATACCAGCTATCCTCAACCCGATGATAAACAAGATGGCAGACGAAGTGTCCGCCGTATTGCTTTTGATATGTTCGCATGAGGTCTGGGTCAAAGTGACCTACGATTGGTCCACAGCCTTGTGCTTATGCTTGTGCTTTTGTCAGCCCAGTTTTCACTAGTCAAAGCTACGACATAAGCACAAGCACAAGCACAAGCAGAAGTTTATCTTGAGCTTATGCTTATGCCTATGTTCACCCAGTTTTCACTTGCTTACCCATGTGCTTGTTCTTGTGCTTGTGCTTATGCGCTAGTGAAAACCAGGCAAGCGTTATGGCAGGAAAGTACTGCTCAGTGCCTTTCTCTTGATTGGTCACATTACAGAAACTATTAGACAAGAATGTTTCAAACCCATTTTATGACAATATTGAACAATGTGCCTCTTATATATTGCATAGACTAACAATGTTGTTGATCAAAAAACCTCAGTTTATTTTAACATAAATAACACCTGGCTAAAAAGCTATTTTACAAACACATGGTCCATTTCATAAAATACCAAAATAATCTGAAAGGGGAAGGTACAGCCTTGCTAAGGTGTATAAATTAGTATGTTTCCTAACCCTAACCCTAACCCATTTATGGCTGTCAGTGAACAAGGTCATAATATTATTATCTGTTTATGAAAGTCAATTTGTAAATAGTAATGTTTTCCTGTGTTTCAGTTCATGGTGATTCTGAGGTTATGTCTGATCCACATCTTACAATGGAATACAAACTTGGGCTTCATTGACCCTCTTCATTTATTTAAGACTCAAGTTCTTTTCTTAGCATTAAAACAGGCACTCTAAACTGCACTCTGAGCAGTTACCAGAATGCTCATAGCACAAAGCTGGGTGCCTGCTTGCTTGAACCATGTTCATGTACCACACAGGTTCTTACTGCTACTATCTTCTATAAAATGTTCAGATTTAGCAAAGATAATGCAATAAAAGTGACAGAGGAGTATGGAAGTCTTAAAAACTACCATGACCAATTGCAGAGCTGCAAATTGAGAAACAGACGTTGTTGTTCTTATATGTTGCATTATCATTGCTAAATCTTCCCAATAGTAATAGTGTATTGCCCACCAAGTCTCTGATTTTTCACTTGCGCATGCATGTTGTAAGCCAGAAAAAATGACTGTAACCATGTACATGAAATAAAATACATTTTACATTTAAAATACAATTTCACGGTCATTTGAATAAAATAATACTGTGCATCTGAAAGTGCATATACAGTTTATAAGCTGATAAGGAAATGATGTATGCATCTGAATTTCTCCCAGCTTGAGAAAACAGCCAGCATTTTGCAATTCCACCACTGGTTTCCACTCGAAATGACATCTGAGAAACAAGCGCAGAAATTCTATACTGATAACACATCACTAACCAGATCTGAGTAGTACACACGGCCTGACCAACCGGAAGTACTACCCAGATCTGGTTAGTGATGCGTCATCAGTATGTAATTTTCTCGATCGTTTCTCAGACTTCATTTTTGCGCGAAAACCATTGGTGGCATTGCATAATGTCCGCTGTTTTCTCAGGCGAGATTTCTCTAAACTCTGTTTACTCACAATTTCATGTAGACTCAACCCCGGGCCTAATAATGCTAATGAACAGGGGCCTGCAGGCCACAGAAAGCCTTCTGAGTACCAAAGATCCTCATTTTCAAAATAAGGCCTAGTGCAAAACCTTTCATGCGAGAATGAGTTTATTTGAATGAGAATTGAAAACTATTTTCAGATCAAAGATTTTGCTCTTGGCATTGTTTTAAAAAAGACGCTTGGGGCAACTTGAAAATTGCCTACTGAGTTAGTGACATCACGTCTGATAATATGCACAAACAAAGAGTTAGAATAAAAATGTTACTATACAACTACATGATTTCAAAACGTTGTTATAAAACACATAAATTAAACTTTATATAAACTTTAAGTTCTAGTTGGTTTATCACCAATTTTTCCAATTTTTTTTTCTTTATAATTAAGTTTTAATTTTAACTTGTTTTCACTATACAAAGAACCAATATCTCCTCTCTGACATTACGGTGTATGATATAAACTTTACTTTAGCATATTTTTCATAAACTCATTCCTAGCGTTTACTGTCTTTTCTTTGTTTAGCTTTCTTGAACACTGTCATCCTCTTCATTTAAGATAAGCAGGGAACGCTCCTACAACCAACACAACAACAATCTCATACTCTCCAGAATATGTTAGATTTAATTCACCATCTTATGCTAATATCCAAAAAATTTATTGTTGTCCTTGGAGACACAAGAGCAGACAGGTGGTGTGTGTGTAGTTTGCAGGGGTTTATATTGTTATTATATAACAACTGTGTCAGCTGGTGGAAATGCATGTCTGAGAAGGGGGGGGGGGGGGGGGGGGGGGGGGGACCCCTTCAGTTTTTTTTTATGACATTAACTTTTGTTAAACTGCATTTAACAATCCAGCAAAAAATTCAAAACTTTTGTGTTGCCATTTTTTGCCACAGTAAAATCTTCCTGCCTTACTGATAGACTTGATTACCAGTCACTCTTCAGGATATGTGCCCACCCCCCCCCCCCTGCCAAATACTGCTGGATGCTATAGTTGTGCAACAGCGAGAAAATTTGTCCCTTTTTCACTTTCAAGTGCTCAAGTTTGTATTGAGTTGTCAAAAAGATGAAATCTTTGAGTAAAGGGTTGATTGAGTGCATTATCATCCTGAGATACTGTAAATCTAAAAAAAATAGTGTAGTGTTCTTGATAAATGTTTACATCCCTATTTTAAGTGAGCACTGACCTGATTTAAGTCTTGTAATGGGATTGAATACTGTTATTATGGAAAAAGTGATAATGGTGGGATTAGAAAATGTTAAATTTCATAGCAGCATAGCATAGCAGCGTAGCATAGCATGCTTAGGTTTATTAAGTTTTAAAAGCTGCTGATTGTGAGAATCTTGTTGGGTTGAAAAATCTTAAACTGAAAGAAAAATGACAAAGGGCAATACAGCTTTCTTGCAAATGTATTCATACAGTTTCCAGTTACTCTCAACTTTAGGTATAAAGCTAACAAAACGTTGTCAATGAATGAGAAGCAGAGCATAATGTAAACCTCATAATTATGTACATTTGTCATTATAGTCGAAAGGTGGTTGTTGGTTGATTAAAGAAGGAATTAACAGGGTTTTAAACAAAAGAGAGTAGCTTTTGTTCAGATGGAAACTATCTTGGGGTGTTAATAATCAAGTGATGTTGGCAAAGTCTGGGCATGATATGTTTCTGCTGTGAAAGGGTGCTCAGTTATTGTGTGGGTATGTTGGTGAGTCTGTCTGTCACTCTTGCCAGTCATAATTTTACTCTACAGTCTCCTGTCAGTCAGTCAGTCATAGCTTGTGGGCTCTGTTCTTGTTCTTTCTGTAAATGGGACAAAATAGGTAAGGAAAAGTAGTTTAATTAAAACAGCAGAGTCTTTTGAGAAAACTTGATCCCCAATTCAGTTACAAGGAGGAGACAGCATGGCCAAGTGGCCACCATGTTGAACCCACAAACCGGCAGTCCAGGGTTTGAGTCCTGCCCCAGCCACTGGGTTCCAAAATCAGATCCCCACCCATACTTGAAAATAGCCAACTGGTTACCTTCTGCCAATTAGGGTAACTGTTTTTAATGTCGTTAGGTCTTATTTGTGTCATCTGTTTCAAAATATTTGAGTGGTGTGCCTGTAAACAGGCTAGGGTAGCCAGGTGCACTTCCAGTTTAACAAAACATTCACCATTTCACCTTGGTATATAAACGGGCAGTATAAGCAATAATAATGAAATAAAAGAAGATAATTACCCCAGGGGAGCTGATGCCACCTCTCTTTAATCGCCTCCAGCAAGCTGTTATTGTACTATAGTTAAACAGCAAGGCAGGGTCTATGCTGTGTGTTTCATGTTTTGCTGTAAAGAAAAACTAAATAATTACTGTCTGGGTGAGTGTAGCTTGTGGAGGCAGACATATTTCTGGTCATCAGAGGTGACAGCTGGAAATACATCTGCTTTCCCTGAGGGTAGGTGAGTTCAGCTTGGTGACAGATTGAAAGTTAGACAACCTGTGAAAACTAGACTCTTCATGATAACTTCTGACTGAGCTGGTAAAACAATATTATTAAGCATAAGTAACAGAGTGGAACCTCGATATAAAGAAGGGCTAAGGAGGTTTGTATATCAAGGTTCCACTGTGTAGCACAAACCAAAATGATACTTCTGAGATACTCACTGAATATAAGACTGGCAAAATAACCAATGATATAAGTGATGAAAAATCCAAGAATTCCATACCAGAAGAACGAGATGGCGTAAACAGAATGAGGCTCAATGCTGAGGGTAAAATGGTAAATAAACAACTTGTTTACTAGGTCAATCTCTGTTACAGGTGTGTGCCTATATGGCATTACAGTATTTAATATGGTTGTGTTTCTATTACAGACAGTTTTGTTTTGTGTTTTGGAGCTTTGTTAAAAGTGTTACTTCTATGCTAAGTTTCTGTAAAGGACACTAAAGATCACAGCGCTGGACAAACTATTAATAATGTGTTGCAAAAATCCCTCAATGGTAGTAAAAGAAAGATAAGTGATCAGCCCCTAGTCTTGCACAATTTTTCAGTGGATAATATTATTGCTCTTGCATGCTGCTGGCAATTAACCCTTTAACCCCTAAGATCAAAAACTGAACTCTCATTTGTTGCCCCTATTCATTTCCTACAGAAGTAGTGGGGAGAAGTTGATAAAATATCAAGCAAATTCATCTTGCATAATCATGTCAGTAATTCTCATGGCCACTCTGTTTTACAAAGCATTGATATTACCAGGAGAAAATTGATGCTGATCACTCTTATAACGGGTTAAAAGATAAAATTTATTTAATACATTCACAACCAAAAAGAACCATCTTTTAACTTAAGATTAAAATTAATGCACAATGAAACATACGATCTTGCAGGGTTTAGTGATGACATATTGAAGTTTGTTACGTTGCTTGGGCAGCCTGTTATTGACATGGGTTGCATTGGGTATCTAGGAGGATGCACTAGCGCTCCTATACTGATCCACGTGACAGTCCAAAAGCCAATAACAACTCCAATCCACACGCCCTTAGCATTAGCACGGGTTGTTAACATTCCAAGAGAAAATAGAGCCAACATTGGGCCACCTGTGGTGCCAAACATGGTAGCACTCATCTGCAAACAGTAAAAAGAAAAACTGAGATGAATAATTACGTTATCAAGTTCCAGCAAATCAACAGGCATCCAAACCTCTTAGGAAAAAAAATTTAGCTGGTGGAGCTAGAAACTAGCAGAACTCTATAAAGGAGGATATGTTATATCACACTGGGAAGCCTGGGAGATTGAATGAGCAAGTTTTACAACAGAAGATGTCCATAGTTATCTCTACTTTCAAAACTTCTCTTTAGAAGGGTGGGGTACACTTTTGACTCTTTGACTGACCTTAGTGACCTTCCAAATTTATGCACATTTCATACATCAGGATATCTGATAAGTATTGTTTATTAACAATGGACAATTTAGAGACAATACTTAAATACATCTTAGCTAAAGGTGGATATGTCTTTTGATAACCTACTCCCAAACACAGTTCAAGTCTACAAGCTATTATGAGGTTAACATTTATTTTTGCCAATTTAACTACGGTTTATTTCAACATAACGTTGACAATAATTTTGATGTCTATTGATTGACATTTTTTTGCAGGCTTGCAAAAT